ATGAGTACGACTTTACTCATAATTCGTCCATGAGTACTCATATTGGTACTACTAACAATTTCTGAGTATTGTTACTCAGTGAGTACTCAGTTACTCATGTGAGTACTCAGGAAATATTCATTCACCGGTTTATTTTGATAAACTGAACCTGTTTAAAGAACGTAGAATTTAATGAAGAAACACAGAATATTTATATTATTATTTTCTCACTAGTCTCTCTGTATATAGTCAGAGATAGACTTGTCTATGACTAGACTTTTAGTCCTACTCTAGCTACCTGAGATCACTCCTCTATATGAAAATATCAGATGAACAATACTCATGAGTATTTTGCCGAAAGTTGTATGAATACTCAACAATACTCAAGCATGAGTACTCAAAGTCGTACCCACAGTACTCGTTACTCACTCATGAGTACTCATTGGGTAAAAAAATGTATGAATACATATGAGTATTCGTCCGGTTTTTCAAGCAGAGTACTTTTTGAGTACTCACACTTCAGTACATTCACTAGGGTAGTACATTACTTAACTTTAATATTTACTGTAAGAAGCATCACATTTTGAGGATGACTGCGGAACATGAGAAGTTTGTACGTTTCTCAAAAGATTACATGATTGTAAACAGTAAGTTTGTTAAATAAGTATAAGCAGTAATTTTTGAGAAAGCCAAATGAAAGAGTCCATGTTTCACATCTATTTTAAGTCATTTTAACTATTGAGCGGTAAAGTTTCAAAACAATTTCTTGTTCTTATAGAAATATTGAAAGCGTAAATTGGAGATTTTATAGTTTGATACAGTAGTTAAATTTTATGCAGATTGATTAGAATCGAGCATATAATGACAACAAGCTGAAGTCCCAACAATCATTTTTGCGGCTTTTTTAATAAAGAGAAATCATTCTTTCTCTCCTTTATAATCAAACTTCAAAAATAAACACTTTCATATGATATATTTTTACAAGTTTATCGTGATAAGAAAAATTATATTATAACGTTATTTTATTAATTTTGTAATAAAATTTGGCTAAAGTATCCTCATTTCATTTATTTGTATAGATCATACTATCGATAGTATGATCTATCCAAAAAATGGCAACTAGATGATTAAGTAGATTAAACATTTCTCTACAAAATGAAAAGTGTCTTGGCTCTGAACGTTGATTCGTTATATACAGCTGTTATATAAACAGTCCCCAAGATCGATTTTTGGACTATCTGAAAAGCGTGTCTAAAAGACTGAAGACGAGCTGGTAAACATAGAACAAGTATACCAGTTTGTAGAAAATTGTTCGGTCTACAAGATGTGATAGTTTGTCAAGCTCGAAACTATTCTAATTAATCTGTATTAATCAAAGAAAAACCAGCAAAAACGGTAACGTTGTGACGAAAAACGGTCAAAAGTATCACAGCGTTACCGTTTTTGCTGGTTTTTCTTAGATTAATACAGATTAATTAGAATAGTTTCGAGCTTGACAAACTATCACATCTTGTAGACCGAACAATTTTCTACAAACTGGTACACTTGTTCTATGTTCACCAGCTCGTCTTCAGTCTTTTAGACACGCTTTTCAGATAGTCCAAAAATCGATCTTGGGGACTGTTTATATAACAGCTGTATATAATGAATTAACGTTCCGAACCGAGACACTTCATTTTGTAGAGAAATATTTAATCTACTTAATCACCTAGTTGCTATTTTAGGTTAGTTTGTAGCTTTATTGCAATAACTTTTCGAAAAAAAGCAAAAAATGGAGAAGCTTAAAGTTTAAGTTTCCTTCTCAAATTGTGAAGCTTAAGGTTTTAACAAGCTCACCACTATTACATTATAGTCAAACTTGTTCGCTATAGTGTGAGCTGCAAGATTGTACTACTTCGAGTGATTCGCAGTGTATACAGTAGATATTATCATAAACGACAAACGGTAGTCCATTTTTGGAAGTGCACAGCTTTTATAAAGATGAAGCCGAATAAAGCCACGCGTAGCGCGGAAGACGGATTTATCGCTCCTAACATTCGTCGACAAGATAATGCAGTTTCCTGTATTCCACTGGAGATCTTGAGAAAGATAGACACCCAACAGTTTCGGAGAATCCTTATAGAGAATGGGAACACCCGCAGTGTTAAAACTTAGAGCAACTGGAGGATCAACTGATACCAAGAAATAAGTCCATGTACACTTTTCGGGGTTCAAGGACACAAAATTGGCCTCACACTAGTTCGAAATACGATCAATCTTCTCCTGTACGACTAATTTTATTACAAGCGGATTCTCGTTTCTCTCAAAAGATGTTACCGAGAAAAGATCTTCAGCATACATGGAGGAGAGATTGGATAGAGTAGTGGGCTGAGACAAGTCATTTATAAAAATTAGAAATAACAGGGGGCTAACGACGGAATCGTGGGGCACGCCAGATGTTATCGGACATGCAATAGAAAACACATCTCCTATTTCTATCCTGAACTATTAATAGTGCTTAATAATAAGTTAACGAGAAAAGTAAAGTAAACGAGAAGAAAAAATAAATATATTTGTGCACATGATAAAGAACTGTATCTGAAAGAACGTTGATATTGACGGAATTCGATGCAATTTCTATCTTTCGTTCACTCAATCTTCAGTACATTAAATATGTTCTCAAAAGGTTTCACTTGAGAGATTTCTTTTTGTGTTCTATAAAAAGCTTTTTTTCTCTTTGTGGTGATTTTTCTTACTCCGAAGTAGACACCTGCACTCAAAATTCTTTTAGTTATTACAAGTAATAATAAATTTTACAGCATCTTTTGCTCAAGCAATGTACGCAACTTTCTGAGATACCTGAGTTTCTGTTCCATGATTACTGGTGATTTCAAAAGACGTATAATATATAGTAGGTATTCCTAGCAAATCAATGGTCTAAAATATGAAATAAAAAATTCATTTGAAGAAATATAAAACAGAATTGGAGCAAATCACTCTGAACACCATGCAAGAAATGAAGAATTTAGAAAAGAGTGACGATGAGGATAATCTTAATAGGGAATATTGTCTGATAGATAACAGGTTGAGGACATTGGTTAACTGCCGAAAATCATGATACCGTTGAGAATATAGAAATACATGACTACTAGCCACAAGAAAAATCAGCATACGTAAAGACGGAGAAGCTTTTCATGTCGGAGAGTTTTCAAACTTCAGTTTCAGTGTTTTCAACATCAGTCAACTCAGTTGTTGATCCTGATTACTAATATGATATTTGTGTTACATAGAAGTTGAGTTTTGTTGGGGTTGGAGAAAATTGAGAATTACGGGCAGAATTCTGACTTTGCTACAGTAATGAAGACTTTTTTCAGCGGGGGAATGGAAGTTTCTTAAATCTATACATATGTTTGTTCACTGTCGGATGGTGATTCGAATGATGTGTGATAGTTGGGGATAGCTCTTGAAACAAAAGACTACATAGATTTGGGAGAACAGAGTGTCAAAACATCCCCGGACGAACTTAGTCCGTCCTGCTCGCAGACATCAAAACGATGAACTAGTGGCAAATCTACATAGATATACTCACTGTTTGATGCTGAACTCGAATTAAATAGTTTCGAAAAACTAGAGTGAACGGAAAACGGTCAAAGCTTGACTTTTCTCTGTAATACTCACTTTTTTAGCTCTATCCAACCATGTATGTTTGAAAGAAATCTATTTTTTTGCTTACCTTTCGAATTTGGAGCTCCTTACGTAAAGTACACTGTTGACAAAGAAGAACAGGGAATGAATGAAATATGTATAATTGGTCAAGACCTACTTCTCGAATATCACTGAGATATGATATATACGTTACATGTCATATTTCAAGTCAGTCAGAAGAAGAGACAAAATATAAAATCAGAAAAATGTTTGAAATCAGAAGATCTCGGATTCCTAGGAAACAGCCAATTTTCACTTTGACTACACTCAATCGATTTGTATTTATTTTTAGCTCTTTTCAGTCACAAGTTGTTCTAAAACCATTAATTTGAAATGGATAACCTATTTTTTTTTGAAGAAACTCTCAACGAGAATTTCTTGATTACTTTTTAAATCTTTCAATTATTTTGAATAGCAGTTATATCATTCTGTTAGTCAAAAAGATATACACCAACAATGTCAAAGTGATGTTAGATTGTGTAGTATAACAAACTGTACACAGGCGACAGATACCTATACCGTGAACGACAGTTACACCTAGAAAACATGTCATAATTTCACAATTCCACAACTTCAAACTCATCGACAAACCTGTGCGACAGTTTAACTGACACAAAATGTCAGAATTTCAGAATTCCCAAATTTCGAAGTCATCCTTTTACCGTGTGGGACAGCGTAACTTATGGAACATGTGACAATTCTGCAATTTCCAACTTATGCCTATACCGTGTGCGACAGTCGACCTCACAGCAAATGCCAGAATTTCAGAATTACAGAACTTCATAGTTATCGTTATATCGTGCGCGACAGTTACACTTACACAAAATGTCAGAATTTCACAATTCCCCAATTTCAAACTCATCTATATACCGCGTGCGATAGTCACCCTTATAGAACATATCAGAATTCCAGTATTTCAGAAATTCAAAGTTATCCTTATACCGTGTGCGATAGCCACACTAATTGAAAATGTCAGACCTTCAGAATTTCAGAAATTCGAAGTAATTTTTGCGCGTGTGCGACAGTTACACTTATACAAAATGTCAGAATTTCAGAAGCTCAAACTTGTCCTAATACCGCGCGCAACAGTTACACTTATACAAGATGTCAGACCTTCCGAATTTCAAAAGATCAAAGTTATGCCAATATGGTGTGCGATAGTCACACGTATACAAAATGTCAGAATTCTCACATTTTGTGTAGGTGTAACTCTACCACACGGTATAAGATCAATTTTTGAATTTTTGAATTCTGAAATTGTGACATTTTCTATAGGTTCAACTGTCGCACACTGTATAACTTTGAAATTTCAGAATTCTAAAGTTCTCATATTTTCTGAAATTGTGACATTTTGCATAAGTGTAAGTATCGCACATGGTGTAAGCAAAACCTTATAATCCTGAAATTCCGAAATTCTGACAATTTTTGTAGGTGTAAGTATCGCACACGGTATAAGGATAACCTTGAAATTTTGAAATTCTGACATTCTGATATTTTAAGAGTAATTGTCGCCCACGGTATCGGGATAACATTGAGATTTTGAAATCCTCGAATTACGAAATTATGAAATTCTGCCATTTTGTATATGTGGAACTTTCGCGCGCGGTATGACGATAAGTTTGAAATTCAGGAATTCTGACGTTTTCTATAAGTTTAACTGTCGCACAGGGTATACGGATAACTTTCATATTGCGAAAATCGGTTATTCTGTATCGGTGTAACTGTCGCACACGATATAGGGATATCTTTGAGATTGTGAAATTCTGACATTTTCTGTAAGTGTAACTGTCGCACACCGTATAAGGATAAGTTTGAAATTCGGAAATTCTGACATTTTTTATAAGAGTAGCTGTCGCACGCGGGATAAGGATAACTTTGAAATTCTGAAAGTCTGAAGTTCTGAAATTCTGACGTTTTGTTTAACTGGAAATGTCGCACACGGTATAAGAATAAGTTTGAAATTCTGAAATTCTGACGTTTTCTATAAGTGCCACTGTCCCACACAGTATAAGGATAACTTTGAAATTCTGAAATTTTGCATTTTGTGTAGGTGTAACTATCGCTCACGATAATTTTGAATGTTCAAGAAAACGTACGGGAAAACAAGCAAATTCATCTATTATACGTGATTTTTATCTTGCAAAAAAACCTGGTATTTCACAAACAGATCCAAAAGTATTAAATGACAATAATAGTGAAGTTGTTAATCCAGTTATTGACAACATATTAGCAAATACTAATGAAATCAGTGCGTCTAATGATGGTTCAATAACAATAACAAATTATTTTAATATTAATAATTATGATGCATCTTTGGACAAAAGCATTAACAGCAACAACTTCCACGATGATACAATAATTAAGAATACTTCTATTTCATTACCATTTGATGTTTTAACAAATACACCTGATAAATCTGACGAGGATGATAACAGAACGGAGAGTATGGATGCATTTAATAACAATACAACATTTGATAATGTTAGTGATAGTTGTAATAATAATGATGATAATAGCGAAGATCGTGAAACGAGAATTCACAATGATAGTGCTGAAGACGTTGGATTTACAGAAGATATATTGCATGATAAGAAAACATCTAGGCCACACCTATGAAAACAAGTATACGTGGAGTATTATTTATAAATGATCATGAATTAGATTATGTAGATAAACAACGAAGTCGTTTTCCAAATATTAACTGGGAACCTGATACACAAAAACCAACAGTAAAACACATGGTAAACCAAGTTCAACATGGTGGTCTGGTAGTCGTCTACAATGGTTAAGAGCTGTTTGTACCAATAATATTTATGGATTATTATGTTGTTTGTGCACAATATACAACAGATGAAGTTCGAATACAACGAGCACATAGTGCATTTATTGTTAAACCATATTACAAATTACAAAAAAAAAGGTCTTGATGGTATTACAAATCATGAAGTAAGTCAGATGCATTTACAATCAATAAGTACAACAAGTGCAGAGCTAACAAAAAACGATAATAATACAATAATTGGAAAAATTAATGCAATAAACATGAATAATTGTACATTAAATTATCTACGTGCATTGGCACGAACATTTTTATTTATGTTAACCCAAGAATTTGCATTAAATAATTTCGAAGATCTCATCAAATTACAAGCTAGAAATTTGGCAGAACCAATAACAAAGTGGTTATCAGTTTCAAACAACAAACAACGATATTGGAGTGGGGAAAGTCGGGCTGAATGGTTGCTCAGTGTTAAATCATATTTATGGAAAAAGCAATTAAATGAATTAAAAAATACAAACTTTTTAACAGTTATGCTTGATGAAACAACTGGTATCAACAATTTAAAACAACTTGTTATTTGTCTTCGTTTTTTTAATACAGCAACGTCATCAATAGTCGAACAAATTTTTCGTTTAACACCTATCGAATCTCAAACTGGAGAGAATTTATACAACAAATTATCGGAATTTTTGACAAACATTCAAAATGAATTAGAGAAAGAATTTATAATTGTATGTCAATGCTACGACGGAGCTTCAGCTCTTCGTTTTCAATTACAAGGACATTTTCGTGCTAAATGGTGTGCATTTGCTATTTACTTATATTGTCGATCACATCTTCTCAATTTATGTGTTAAAGACGCAATTGGTTCCATATCACCGGATCGAAAAATTTTAAAAGCTTGTTTGGTCAAAACCGATTGCAGATTCGTCTTCTCCATGGTTGATTATGCGGTACGCGATAACTTCTGGATCGGGGTACTTTAGAAAAAATTTTCGACATCGTTTTGCCTTTGGTCCCATACGGTAACAT